GGGAGCAGCCAGGGATTGAACCGGCGCCGCAGAGGCCACGAACAGCTTCGCAACCCAGCGCTCAACCGCTGCGCCACCGGGGAGGCCCTAGAAGCAATATCCTTTAAACAACCTACAAAGACTTGCATGATTGGGCTTCTGTGCAGTGAAGTATTAACTTTGGCCAGAGAAAGGTTTATCCTTTGTCCCCAACTCCTGGCAGCTGAGCTCTGAGTCCTCGCAATGGCCGGGAGATCCCCAGTGCTCCATGATATGGGTATGTAAGCGCCTCATCTGAGGAGAAACATGGACCATGTGCAGAGTGAGAGCTGTGAGTGTCTTATTCAGCTCACTAGAATCCAGAACCCCATGATGCACAGGACTGTATGACAACGCCAGACAGAACTTTCTCAGGGAAAGAACAGTGAAAACCACATGGAGTGCAATAAATGAGTGAGTGAAAAATGAAACAAGATGCACAGTGGAGGAGAAGCAAATGTAAAGGGGGCTGTGCAATGCATGACAAGTGTGATAGGCAACTTCAAGGGACTGAAGATCCAAGACTGAAGGATCTACTTCCTATGGAAATAACGCTGTTCCCAGGTACTGGTAACTTATTGCTGATGACACTTTGATGCTTTTAATAAAGTGAGAAAAATTGAGAAGTAGGAGGCAGAGAGACCGTGGATGGAATCTGGTGGTGTAAATTCCTATATCTGAGAATGCAATGGTCTGTCTCCCAGTGAACAGTGTAGTTTGTTATATTCCCACTTAATAATTCACTTATTCAGTAAATATTTACTGAATTCTATACTAGATACCAGGTTCTGGGGATGCAGCAATTAATCATACAGATAAAATCCCTGTCCTGGAGTTCACACTCCAGTGGGATTGGAAATGGAGGCAAAAGGAGGGGGTACTAATTTGATGAGTCTTAGAAAGAAGTTTCAGTGGGAGTTAACCTGTTGGGAAATTATGCAGAGAGGTGCTGGCCCTATACATGGTCATCTTGGGAGACAATAAAAGATCCTTTTTAAAGCCAGCACCGGTTTCTAAATGCGTGTATGTTGTGTGTGCTGAGTTAGAGTGCAGTAAGGTATCAAAAGCAGGTTGAATCAGTGACCTGCTGCAGACCCTTCAAATGCTAAGGCAAGAGCTTAGAAACATAATGAGCTGCACATTCTACACCCACACTCCACAATTGTCAGAGCTTCTATCTCATTGTGCCTTCACAAATTAAAAGGAATATCATGGAGGGAAAAAAAGACTAAAGACAACTAGGTCAAAACTCCCTTGTCTAAAAATATTCCATCTAACCCACTGAGAACCTATTTCCCTGGCTTCTGGGACATTTCAGCACTCCCCATAGGAAGAGGGCCCACACCCACACTCCTGCACTGGAGTCAGTGTACAACAGGTCTCTCCCAGTGACTGCTGCTCCAGCTTCTTGGGTAGTTCCCTGACCTAGTTTTATAGGTGCCCAACTTTGAGGGTGGGGGCTACTCAGATAATTGTGTGGTTGGCCCCTCTCAGCACTGCCTATGGATTTTCAGAGGGGATTATGCATTTCCCAGGCGTCACTCTTGACAGCCCAACCCCTAGCACCCAGGCATCAGCAGAGGTTTAGGTTAACCCAGATGACTAAACTCTTATAGGTCAGTTGGGTCAGTATAACTTTGAGATCCACCTCAGCTTTGACCTCAAGTTCAAGATGAGATATGGTGGCCCTCATTGGGTAGCTGTGGAAGACACAATTTTGGGCACAGAATTGGGAGAAGTAACCAGGCGACCTCAGGTCAAGTGTAGAATTGTATGGCACTGTAGCACCACCTCCCAACCTGAAGCAGACATTGCAATTACTAACAGTCCCCTTTCTCAACAATATCCTCCAAGCACTAATTAAAATTAATTCCAATCCAAATTGCCTTAGATTACAGAAAACTAAAAAGATATGACAACAAAATTCACTGTGATACCAAAATGAATCCTGTACTAGAGTAAATTAACTGTCAAAAAGGGCAATATTATGTGGGCTGAAAAAATTGGAATACAATTAAATAAAAGTATCACATTACATGTGGCTGACTGCCACATGCAGAGAAATAAAAGCAGACCACTCTCTCCCACCATACACAAAAATTAGCTCAAGATGGATTAAAGACTTTAATAAAAGAACAGGATCCATTAAATACACAGAAGAAAACATAAGTAGAACACTCCATGATATTGGTTTCAAGGATATCTCTGGAGGCTTGACTCTAACAGCAAGGAAAAGAAAAGCCAAAATAAACAAATGGGACTGCGTCAAACTAAAAAGCTTCTGCGCAGTGAAAAAATTATCAGTAAACAAAAAGACACTCTACAGTGTTGTAAACCAATGTTAGCTCAATAAAGAAAAAAATGAGACACTCTATTGAATGGGAGAAAATATTGGTACATCATATATTCAACAAGGGGATACTATCCAAAATCTACAAAGAACTCCTACAACTCAGTAAAAAGAGAACAAAGAACCCAATCAAAAAATGGGCAGAGGAACTAAATAGACATTTCTCCAAAGCAGACATACAAATTGCACACATAGAAATATTCAACATCACTCATTATCAGGAAATGAAAATCAAAACCACAATGAGATGCCACCTCACTTCTGTGGGAATGGCCTGTATCAAAAAAGACCAGAAATAACAAACAATCAGGGTGTGGAGGAAAAGGAACTGTTGCACCCTGTTGGTGAGTCTGTAGACTGGCCCAGCCCCACAGTGTGGTGCTTTCTCAAAATATTAAGAGCAGATCTACCATATGATCCTTTGATTTCACTCCTCAGCATTAACCCAAAGAGTACAAAAACATGAATTTGAAGAAAGGCAGGCACTCCTGTGTTCATTGCAGCACTTTTTACTGTAGCCAAGTCATGGAAACAGCCTAAGTGCCCAACCACAGATGAGTGGATTAAGACATTGGGGGCATAGATACACTATGGAATACTATTCAGCTATTAGGGGGAAAAAATGTAATGACATGGATGACACTAGAAGGGATTGTGTTAAGTGAAATAAGTCAGGAGAAAGACAAGTACCAAGTACAAGTTGATTTCACTCACATGTGGAATGTGGATAAACAAAACAAAGGAACTGACAAAAAACTAAGCCAAAACAAAGTCTAGAAACATGACTGAAGGGTTAAGTTTACTGAGGGGGTGGGGGAGGAGGGAAATAGGGATAGGAAAAAAGTGAGGAGACCCAATGGTATACAATAAGGGATATGGGTGGGGTGACGCACATCTGAGGAGGTGAGAACCTGATCCCCTAAATCATATTCAATGCTATGAACCAACATTATCTCAAAAATAAATTATTAGATGACTAATTAATTTTTAAGTGTCATTTTCCTGAAGCTGGTGATTGCACTGGGGATACATAAGCCGATACCCTAACACTTAGGAGGTATAAGGGCCAGGATGTATGTCATTTACTCTCACCCGGCTTGGAAAAACTGGGGCATGCATGTAAAAACATGAGCAAAGGTTGAGGCAAATGGGGCAAAATATTAATACATTAAAGGATAAAGTGATTACAGATGTTCTTAGTATTATTATTGCAATGTTTCTGTAAGTTTGAAATGATTTTCAATTAAAAAGGTTTTTTTTAATAATCTGATTTTAAGAAATAGATAGCTTGTCTATCTCCACCATTACCTGGACTCTCACCATCAGAGGTTCATTTCTTTGTCTATAAAACATTTTACAGATCCACCTCCCACAGCTTTAACCAGAAGCTTTGTTTTCACCTGTTTAAGATAGGACATTCTCAGAAGGAAGGCTAAGGGGGTAAGATGGCTGATTTTCCCCACAAGCTCCTTCTTTATACCTCCTCAACTCAGAGGAGGTCGGCAATGTGATTCAGAGTCCCCTGTGCTCAGAAATTCTTGCACGTAGAAAAAATGCTTTTATCAAACATCTATCTAGATTATGGGGTAAGCTTCTCAGAATCATATCCAGACCATAACTTCATTTTTTCTCTCTCACTATATAAAACTTCTCATTGTAGCATCAAAAGAGATACTTCTTAATTTTAGCAATCAAGGAAAATATATAAATTCAAATATAAGTTCTGGTCTAGGGTTATCTGGATCAAGTTTGAAGATTGCAGTTCCTAGGAACAGAGGCGCTTCCTTTCCTTTATGAAATAGCGCAGACTAGTGGCAGTTATGAGCACTGCAGGGAAATTCAGGAAGATCTTTTTTCTTGAGTAAAAATATACTTGACCTACAGCTGCTTCTTGGTCAGGAAAATCAGTCTCAAAGTGCTGATTTTTTCATATGAAATGATGTCAAGAATTTCCATATGAAAAAACATGGTGTGTTAGGAAGCCATAAGTTATGCCCCAATGTTGTTCTTGAGTCCTGATTTTCCAATGTTTTCATTATGTTACATAAACCAAGCAACTCTTCCTTGGAAAACCACAAGTAGAGACTTAAACATGAAATGAAAATAATATTTCAAATCCAAGTGTTATGCATGTGTCACTCCTGCTTAAATTTTAAAGCATTTTCTACCGACACTGCTACCTCTGAAATGTACTTATTTTAGAACTTCTGCTCCATTCCATATGAAGTAAACATTCTGTCCAGTTCTGAATAGGCCCCTTTCACTGAGCCTTCTAGGCGTTTCACCAGCAGTCTCCTCAGCCAAGCCAATTACTCAGTCAAGTAATCACATATGTTGATGCCAGGAGAGACACAGCCAAGGGACGACGGGCAAACCAGCGCGGGCCTAAAACTGACCAAAATGAGGCCAGCCTAAACTAAATCATGCAGGCCTTTTTTTTTCTTCATGTGAAAATACAATCCCCTGTGCAAGTAACGCTGTTTCTAGGCTTTTGATTTTTACAATCATGGGTATAGCTGCTTTTCAAATGGGGCTGAGTGTGTCGAGTGTTCTATGAAAAAATTAGGTCATAGGACTGCATCACAAAGGATTTTGGGGGGATGGGAGGGCTAGAGGATGACAATAAGTTCAACTTAGGAACAAAAACAATTTTCAGCTTCTGCGATGTATTTGCCTGTGATATGATGAAAAGCAGAAAGCAAGAGGCAGATGGGCTTTCGTGAGTGCCCACCATTTGGCTGTTTTCACAAATGGTATTTTCCTGTAGGAAGGGTTTGCTATTTCATTTTCTAGATAAGGAGGTAGAGGATCAGAGAAAGGAGGGAGGGAGCTGGTCTTCAAATCATCCAGCTGGGATGCCACATTCCCACTGACAGGATCCAGAAAAAGGTTTTCAGAGTGAAAGATAGTTCCCATTTGTCCTTAGAACCTTCATTTACAGATACATGCAAACCCTTTGCCCAGCAACTTTGGGTTGTTTCCTGTTCCTCCTGTGTCACTGCACAGTCAGGTAACACATGGCCCTGGCCTGATACCCAAGCATTCCCCCTAATCTGGTCTAGAAACTTCTATTCTGTCTTTGATGTTTTCAGGTTATACCGGGCCTGTGTACTGTTTCCTTCTTTGTCTGCTGCCTCTTAGCTTAGATTAATAGGGGCGTCTCCAGCACACACTTCCCCATTTTAACGGGCTGGGAACTCAGGCAGAGTCTGAGCCACATTGGGCACTGGCAAGCTGTTAGGAGTTGGTCACTTTCATTTCATTCTGCCTCAAATATTTTTTTCTAGACACTATGCTAGGCACAAGGCTCAGGTTGATGGAAGGTGAATTTTGTCTTCATATTACTCCATTTGGAGAATAATTTACTCCAGTGCTTCCTGGAGCTGTTTGATGGTGGAGGCCATGGAAGGTGTAAAGAAAAAAAAAATCTTTCTCAAAGGATACTAAGGATATATCCTGATAGGAGAAGCTAAATATTTATAAAAGCAAGTGAGGACAGGTAGGTGACAAGCTCAGATTTGCACAAGATTCAATTTGTAGGCATTTATTTTCTGACCCTCTCCCTGGTTAAATACACCAGCACCCACATTGTCCCTCAGCCCTTGAAAAATGACTGGTGATGATTCCCAGGACTGCTTCAGGAGGGTGGAGGGAAGAGACACTGGCAGGCCCCCACTCTAGCAGGTAGTGAGCCAACCATCTTCACATATGAAGCTTCATTTAATTCTTATGACACCATCATGAGCTAAGTGGAATCTTTGCCCTTGTACAGATGAGGACACTGAGGCTCAGCGAGGTGAAGCTGTGCATTGGGCCTGGGACCCATGGACATCTGGGGCTGGAGCACTCTTCATGGGGGAAAGGGAAGATCTTAGCTACAGTGACTTTCCTTCTGCTCCTCAACTTCTGGCTGGATGCACCCAATCAAGTATACACATGTAGCAGGCCTAGGCTAATTACAAGATAATTCAAGCCCTAGTCCTATCCTCACATTAAAATTGAGAGTTACATACGCGCACGCACGCACACACACACACACACACACACCCCAATCCAATTCCTATGGGGAGAGATTTGCCCCGGAGGTGTGGAAGAATGTTTGAGGCGGGGCAAAGCATGATGATAGGAAACTCAGTGTTTCAGGGCAAAGTCAGGGCAGAGTATCAACAGGTTTGGGGAAAGCAGTCCCGAGTGGGGTGCTGGGTGTGCCTGGACCCCAAGCATCCCCAGAGGCTGTGTGTCTTGTGGTAGTAGTGGTGGTGTGTATGGTCATGTGTGTGTGAGCATGGGGATGTGCACATGTGTGACTGAGTATGTGAGCATGAGTGAGTGTAAATGTGAGTGTGGGTGAGCAAATTGAGTGTGTGAGGATGTTGTGAGGGTGTGTGAGAGTGAGCATGCGTGAGTGTGAGTGTTAGCTGGCGTGGGCTGGGGTTTGGGAGTATGGGGAGTATAAAGAAAACTGGGTCTGGGACCCCAGAGACAGGCGTCTAGTCCCAGCTTTGCCACTGGTTGCAAATGCCACTTCAGCCTGGTCACCCAGCACCCCCAAACCTCCATTTTCTTCAGCTGTAAGATCAGAATTGAAGCAGATTATGTCCAAGGTCTGTCCCATACCAATAATTCTATCCCTGGCCTCGCCTTTTCTTTTTTTGTCCCCTCCCCACCTGCAGCTCAGAGCTCTAGAAAACTTTATCTTTAGTTGGCAAACAGCATAACTTTTTTTTTGAGAAGCAATTGTTTCATCCCATGAACTGGGCGAGCCCTCTCCTTGTAAGAGAACAGCCAAACCTGTGTCATTGCTATGGGAGAATTGTTAGTAGGAAAGTCATCTCACACTGACGGATGTCATTTCTTCTGCCAACCACCCACTTGCCTTTGCCGAACTATCACGGATGTGGTGCCACTCCTTTTATTAGGGGCTCCACACGAAAGAGACAAAGTCCCCACCACTGCGTTGACCCTAAGGATACATTTGAGGATAATATTAATTACATAAAGAACAACCATGGGAAGAAGTTTCTTCTGCTCTAGATTAGGAGGAGGGGCCACTACTTAGCAACTGGCTCGTCTCTACCTCTGGGACACTCAGTGTCATACACATTCCATTTCCCTCATTACAGTCTGACGCTGCAGGAAGCTCAGAGCCAAACCTAGGTTCAGGTGTGCGGCTGCACATGGCACATTCAGTCCAGGCCTTTCTTTCCTGCCCCAAATCTTTCTTGGCCTCATTAATTCTTTTTTTTTTTATGTTTATCTTTTTAAATTATATGCATTTAGGCACTTTAAATAGCACTGGGGGAAAAGCCAATATTCAAGTAGAAACTTCCTTCCTTCCTTCATTACATGAAACTCAAATGTCAGTGCAGTAAAGGTTTAGGGGCACACAGCTCTGCCTGCTCACTGGTGACTGGCCACGACTGTGTCCACCTATGACAGCAGAGCTCTGTGGATGTGACCGGGGGGATCTGGCCTGGGAGCCTAAAGTAGTTATTATCTGGCCTTTTATAGGAAAAGGTTGCTGACCCCTGGACCACACCTTCATTTTATATCTGTTGAGTTTTTCTTGGCTAATGTTAGTATAGAAGTGCTTCAAATATGGGTGTTTGCTATATTCTTATTCAGTCTATGGTTTTGTGCTTTATTCATAAAGCCCCCTCTGAACATGCCTTAATCTTGACCCCCAACTCAGGCGAACTGGCTTGCTCAGAGATCCGTGCTATGCAATAAACAAGATTATTTTAAGTCTCTTAGAAATGACTGAAAGACAGAAGACAAAACTAGCAGGCAAACTATAAATCGGAGACATTGAGAAAGGAAGTGGGGTGAAGATGGAGCAAAACAGGAGAGGGAAGAGCACAAGAGATTATGGTAACAGTTCACATGTGTCTTGGTGGTGGCAATTTTATGGGGATTACACCTGAGAAGAAAAATCATTGCACAAAAATGAACAAATATATAAATAATATGTGTAGGTTAAGGTAAAAAAAAATCATGCTTTTCTGCCCTTCGCTATCAGGATAGATGAGGGAACCCTGTGATCCTGAGTGCATGCCTGATGGCGGGCACCTGGAGTGGGTACACCTGGGCTAAGACTGTGCTTTTTAAGGGTGATGTCACGGGGACGCCAGTAGAAGCCGAAAGAGAAGAAGCCCGAAGCAGAAGCAGAGAACGCCAGAGAGCCCAGATAGAGTGAAGATTTGCTGGGGGCTGGGAGGACTGCCAGCCTCCCAGCACCCCTGCCTACCACATACCCACTGAACCCCAATAAAAGACCTGCAAAAAACCACTGAGGACTCTGACTCCTCCTTTACCCGGTCTACATGGGATCAGAAAACCTGCACTGTGGTCCTTCCTGCCCTTACAATATGTAAAAAAAGTAAATAAATAAAATGTAAATAAATATGTAAATAAGTAAAATGTAAAAATAGATAAATAAATTTAAAAAAAGAAATGACTGAAGGAACTTTGGGGGTGACAATTTTGTAGACACTAATAAAGCTGAACCCACAAAAAAGTCTAATTTTTTGCTGAAAATTCTAAATCAACAGATTTACACAATAACTTGGCATTTTTAATGCCATAATCAAACAATTTCTCCAGTTTCCCTTTACTTGATACTTGTGTTTGCATATTTATTGATATGACCTCCCCTGGTCACCTATAGTTAAAAACAAAACGAAGTCTCCATGGAAACACAACATAATTTCTCTCAAATGATTGAGGGACCCAAGCAGCTGGAACTGGGCTGAAGGCTGAGATGGGATTTGACCAAATTAGGAAGAAAAAACACTTCCCTGACTTTTCCAGATCTCAGAATTCAAACCTCAGCATGGAAACCTGCAGATTGTGAACTACTATAGATTATTTTATTATTTCTTTTCCTTCTGAGAATTGCCTATCTTCTCCATCTGTATGTTTCAACTATAGGGTGCTGTTATCCCCTGCCTCTAGACTGACTGGCAGAAGCTACAGAACAAGTGAGAGGGGAGTCTGTATTGAGTGAGCACCTACTGTGTGTTAGGCACTTACACATCACAGACAGCCCAAGGGCACGCAGGGTAAACCTGAATAACTGAGACTTGAACTCATTTGGTTAATGCCATTTCACTAGAGATGAAACAAGACCCTTCAGAAAAAAATCGGAAAGACAGGTTGAACTAGGTCTTTTAACATAGCTGTAGTCTCAGGGGAAGAGGAAATCAAGTAAAGAAAATTCTTAAAGCACCTGCCCACTTCACCCTGCTTATGTTTACAAGAGCCAAGTGAGGGTTTTCCCAAGAAAACCTGGGTTCTCTTTAAAAATCCCATACTGGGGCCTCCCTGGTGGTGCAAGGGGATAAGCACCGCACTATGAAGCAATCCGCAGGCTCTGCAGCATGAGTTCGTTCCCCAGCCAGCCAGGGAGCAGCCCACATGGCGAAGCAGACCTCTCCTGTTTCGCCCGATGCTCCACTCAGCAGTGTATTTCATCAGTCTGCCTGTTCTGTTCCCTGCTCTGTCTCTGGTGAATCCTCTCACCCACCCACCCCCCATATCTCTGGCTTGTACCCCAGCTCTTGTATGCATAAATAAATAAATCTTTTTAAAAAATCCCATCCTGATGTTTAAAGGAGGATGAGTTAAATAAGGACAATTAATAAGAGCCTTGAAGCAAGAATGGACACTGGTATGAAGAAAGGGGCCCTGCTTCCAGTTAGAGTGAGGGGTCATGGCAGATGTATCGCAAAGAGTTGGATAGAGACTAGCACATGTTCTTAATTCAAAAAAATGGCTATTTTCTGGGGCCAATTATCAATTAACTGTGCTTTTACCCCCCTCAAATTCTGATCTGTGAAAATTTCCCCAAGTCCTATTTCTTACTAGAGTGTGATTAGCAGCATATACGCCTACCAAGGGTCACCTCTGAAGAGGACCCAGCATCATCAAGGTCATAGACACATGCCCGCCAATGCTTCAGAAGTGTGCTCTCAAGCCTTGGAGAGAACAGAATCTGCAGGGAACCCCTCAAGAAGCTGGGCTGCCAACCCCACACCATTTGGGACAGCTTTGCTTTCACCTGTATGAAGAAAGCATGCCTCTGTTTTTTTACAATTTCAAAAGCACTGTCCTGAGACATATCTTTGCCTGCACATAGGCACAGATCACATAATTGATATTTGAACCAGAAATTGTGAGAGGAAGTAGGCTGTCCTCTGAAGACAGGTTCAGAGGATGGGAGTGAGAAAGGCTGGCATCTCCTCCTCCACCCCAGTGAGTGGAGCCCCACTCTGTTCTCCTGGATATGCATTTAGATTCTCCTCAGGCTCCATTCCTGAAACCTGATGGACTAGGCTGCTCTCAGTTTAAATGCCCTGTAAGCCTAGAAGATTCACCCCTCTTCTGCAGGAGCCCTTTACTGTATAGAGTCTGCGTGAAATACTTTGCCCTCCAGAGAGGAGTCATATCATTGCAAATTGCTTTCTCAATCAAATTAGCTGATAAACTAGAGCACTCGCTACTCTACTAAAATAGCTCTTTAGATTATAGAGAAGTGAAATCACTGGGGACAATCTGTACATGCAAACTCTCTGAAGTCAAAAATTTGACTTGAGCTAAGGAAGTATTCTTCACAAGTGCTAAGCTGATTTGGTTTTTTGTTTCATCTTGTTTTGTTTTTCAGTTTTCAACAATCTCATCCTTCTGAATAGCTTTTGCTCTGCTTCCCAGTGTTGAAATCCCTGGGCGTTTGTCTAGAAAGCACTGGTGCAGGTGCTGTCAGTGATTTAACTAAGCACAGGCAGATCTTGTAGAGGACTAGAACAATAACTGCTCTGAAAAAGAATGATCCTTCCCATCACAGAGCAATTTATAAAGATTACACATCCAACCGCATACCAGGAAAGTAGTTCTCCCTTTCGTTAATTTTTCACAGAATAAATGATGAAATTGGAAGGTTAGAGAGCAGCCAGTACTTTATCTTGGACT